AGCTTTCTTTTGGTGGTATTTAATCACCGCTAGATATTTTTATTTCTTGTTAAATAAACAAAAATTTAGAAAAAAGTTTTCATAGTTTCTTGCATAAAATATTGCAAATTAGTAATTTTCTTCTTCACTGGTGAGGCTGCACTGATGGGCACGGATGAGGTGATATTGATGGGCACTGATAACCTGTACTGATGGGCACTGATAGGTGGCACTGATAAGCTGCACTGATGAGCACTGATAAGCTGCACTGATCTGTTTTGATGGGGCTGCACTGATTATCAGTGCACTGATGATCAGTGCCTTGATTATCAATGTAAACATTGTACTGACAGTCTTGTTGGATATCGTCTCTCCTGTCTGTCACAGTGTGTGAGGAAAGGACTGCCCATAACCGGTATGTTTACATGTGATCAGCTGTGATTGGACACAGCTGATCACATGGTAAAGAGCCACTGTGATTGGCCCTTTACCATGATCTGTGATCAGTTGTGTCAAAGAACACAGCAGTCACGGAGCATGCCTGATGAGTGCCCCAGGGGGTGCATGGGAGGCAGGGTTCTGGGAGGACATTCTTGGATGCCCTTCCAGAACTGGAGGATAGCACTGTAGCCATCTTTCAGCTATAGCACAGTTGGGAAGTGGTCAAAAATGCTGCAGGAACCCTTTTCCCCCTATATATGTTGTACCTGTTTATCTGCAGTCTCCTCTATATCTGTTTAAAGTCTAGAATTTACACAGCATTTCTGAGCTTACAGAGGCAAGGGGAAGGGATCTGATATCACACACTGCACAGCTCACAAAGCTGCACAGCTCACGACCCCAACCTCAACCCCCACCTATACAGTTTCATATGGAAACATGCTCAGTTGAGGCTGTCAGTCACAGTCTGTGTGCTGGAGCTCTCCTCCCCAGCCACCCATGATAGCTTAGAGTCAGCACAACCTATCAGAAAAGACTCATGTAGATAGCAGAGGAAGGAGACAGCAGACAGAAATCACAGTAGGTGCTTTAGATTGAGACAAGTACACACTGTAGAGGGATATGCTTTGTTCATTTATCAGAGGTATACAACCACTTTTTTTACCTTTAGGCATTAAAAGGTTAACTGGTGAATTTTCTCTGTCTGGATTTTTTGCTCAAGTTGGGGGGGGGCATAGCTACTTACAAGAATTTGGATTGGTTGGCTTTAATTCTGTTAACAATTCCACCTACTAATAAACGATTGTTGAAATGTTACTGGCTTCCATATTTCACTCTTATGTGTTTTTGTGTGCGCTGTAAAGAGAATCATGTTATACATGACACATCTCACTGTCCATCTCTTCTTCTTTTTAACTTTATTGAAAAATTACAAAGGGTTGTGATGTGGTGTAGTTGTGTCACATAACACTGCACTGAAAAAAGTAAAACATCTCCTATTTTTTTAGGACATACCATTTCAGTACAGTGGTGTGAACTATGCTCACAGGACTCTAAGTAATTTGCCTTGCCTGTGTTTTATGACTGTGCTAGGCAAGCCTGACACATATGGTGTGAATGGTCCCCTAGCACTGGTTTACATGGGTGCCTGGGGGGCGTAAAAAAGAGGTGGCTGAACAAGAGGACACAGTAACGCACTACTGTACTTTGTGGTGTGCTGCATTGCTGAAAATAGTGCATATCTGGGTTTTTTTAGATGTTTGTCTGTGTTTCCAGTCTATTTATATCAATGGACTGCATTCATGTGCACCAGGACCCCAAGGTGTGAGTGGGCCTTTAGAGTTGTCATCGGGAAAGCTTCCAATGAGGACACTTGTTCCTGTGAGAGCTGTCTAAGAGAGGATTTCACTCAGTTTTAAGAAACTTTTTAGTTCCAGTTGTGTGTCCTAGACAGGAAATGAAGGGAACTCTCCTCAGTCAGAGATCCTCAGCCTTCCCTAATAACGCAAAAAAAAAAAAAAATCAATTTTCTGGCCAGTGATATACCTTAATATGGGATGTACCTGCAACAAAGGAGTCCCAGCACACTATGTGTTTCTACAAGCACTGTAGAGTTCCCCCATAATGTATGGTCTCTGTAGAGTTCCCCCATAATGTATGGTCTCTGTAGAGTTTCCCCATAATGTATGGTCTCTGTAGAGTTTCCCCATAATGTATGGTCTCTGTAGAGTTTCCCCATAATGTATGGTCTCTGTAGAGTTTCCCCATAATGTATGGTCTCTGTAGAGTTCTCTCATGATATATAGGGGGAGACTTACTAAAACTGGTGCAGCTCTGCATAGTAACCAATCAGCTTCCAGGTTTTATTGTCAAAGCGTAATTGAACAAACGGAAGTTAGAAACTGGTTACTAATCACAGCTGCATCAGATATTGTGTACACCAGTTTTAGTAAATCTCCCCCATAATGTCTGTAGCGATCTTCCATAATATATGGTGCTTGTAGAGTTCTCCCATAATGTATGTTCTCTGTAGAGCTCTTTCATGATGTATAATGGCTGTAGAGTTCTCCCGTAATGTATGACAGATGTAGAGTTCTCTCATGATATATGGTACCTATAGAGTTCCCTCTTAATGCGTGGTGTCTGTAGAGTTCTTCCATAATGTATGGTGCCTGTAAAGTTCTCCCATAATATGTGGTGCCTATAAAACTCCCCCATATTGTATGGTGTCTGTAGAGTTCTCTCATAATAAATTATGTCTGTAGAGCTCCTCCATATTGTATGGTGTCTGTAGAGTTCTCTCGTAATAAATTATGTCTGTAGAGCTCCTCCATATTGTATGGTGTCTGTAGAGTTCTCTTATAATATATTATGTCTGTAGAGTTCCCCCATATTATATGGTGACTGTAGAGCTCTCCCATAATAAATGATACTTGCAGAGTTCCCTCATAATATATGGTGTCTGTAGATGTCCCCCATAATGTATCAAGCTTGCAGAGTTCCCCCATAATAAATGGTGTCTGTAGAGGTCCCCCATAATGTATCAATCTTGCAGATTTCCTCCTTAATAAATGGTGTCTGTAGAAGTCCCCCATAATGTATCAAGCTTGCAGAGTTCCCCCATAACAAATGGTATCTGTAGAAGTCCCCCCATAATGTATCAATCTTGCAGAGTTCCCCCATAACAAATGGTATCTGTAGAAGTCCCCCCATAATTTATCCAGCTTGCAGAGTTCCCCCATAACAAATGGTGTCTGTAGAAGTCCCCCATAATGTATCAAATTTGAAGAGTTCCCCCATAATAAATGGTGTCTGTAGAAGTCCCCCAAAATGTATCAAATTTGCAGAGTTCCCCCATAATAAATGGTGTCTGTATTAGTCCCCCATAATGTATCAAATTTGCAGAGTTCCCCCATAATAAATGGTGTCTGTAGAAGTCCCCCATAATGTATCAAGTTTGCAGAGTTCCCCCATAATATATGGTGTCTGTAGAAGTCCCCCCATAATATATCAAGCTTGCAGAGTTCCCCCATAATAAATGGTGTCTGTAGAGGTCAACCATAGTGTATTCAGCTTGCAGAGTTCCACTATAATGTATTGTTTTCTGCACACCCCTCCCCCATAGATCTCTCCTCCCCTTCTTGTTCCGTTGGCTCCGCCCCCTTTAAAAGCAGCCAGTCCCCGTGTCCTTACGTCCCCCCTGCCCTGGCGTCCCTCTCTCTATGGCAACCACAAGCCCCTATCCAATCAGTGCCGGCCGCACGTTCGGCACGTCCCCTGGCTGGCAGCGGAGTCTGCCCTCCAGTGTGTTTGGAGGGAGGGGGAGCGGGTACAACCATTCCTTCCAGAGGGGAAACCGGTTATCGAACAAAAACTTCCCTTTCTTCTATGTACCGTCATTGGCTCGTTTCTCTATTACACCCGTTTAGACTACATTAAAAACAATAGACAAAGCCACGAAACACCCACACCTATAAGAACTGTTACCAAGAGCGAGCTTTGCATTTCATGTACCCCTGGGCTGCAGTTGGTACGCTCCAGCGGGAGGTCCGCTGTAATATGTTCATTTTTATTAACGTGTGCTATTTTTGTATATTGTGAGGACTTTTATTTATGAGGCCATTAGAGTTTTCTTGTTTTGCATTTGGTTTTCTGTGCCGATGTCTCATACATCAGAAATGCCACACTGGGGAAGGCAAAACTAAGCAAAAACCTGACATTTTCTCAATAACGATTTCTGCCTCACCTCCAGCTAATATATGAGCGAGCCTGGAGACCAACAATTACCACAAAGGGATAGATATGTCTGCTGAGCAAGGATCTGCCCGCTCTTAGGTGGAAGGCATGACATTTCTCCATGAACACATTCAAATACACTATAAATATATAATAAAAACAACACAAGAATAATAGTATTCAAATAATATTAAAATAATCATTTAAATACACATTAAATTATAATAGTAATAACCTAGGATAGTATTGAAAATAAAAAATAGTAATAATATGATTACAAAATAATAAAAAATAACGAACAAAAATATAAAAAAAAAATCCATATATTGTATAAATTGAAGCAATTTTTGATGAAACTCAAGAAAAATTGTAAAACAAAGGAATGTATCATCCCCTTATTTTTTACACCTGTATTTTGATATAATTATGTGGCATTTGTTTGGTGTGGCAGTGGTTTAGCTTGTGGCTTGGAAGCTGCTCTACCAAAAATGGTATCAAAGTGACTATTCCCTGCATCACCACTACCACCCTGCCCCTTGTATTCCCACAGTATTCTAGTCTATCTGGTACAGGTTTGGTTTAAACTATGAGAACAATGTCTTTGGTTTCTTCCAAATACATCTTCTGGAGTATGGAGGCCACAAAGACTGCCTATAATTTTGGGTCGCTCTACATTATACACTAATAGAATAATGTGGCCTTGGGACACTTTCCTACTTTTGGCAATTAGCAAATGTTAATATACACCGTATTGCCAAACATATAGGGCCAGCCCTCCAAATCATTGGATTCAGGTGTTCCAATCACCTCCCTGGCCACAGGTGTATAAAATCAAGCACCTAGGCATGCAGACTGCTTCTACAAACATTTGTGAAAGAATGGGTCACTCTCAGGAGCTCAGTGAATTCAAGCGCAATACTGTGATAGGTTGCCACCTGTGCAATAAGTCCATCCGTGGAATTTCCTTGCTACTAAATATTGTGGAAAGTGGAAGAAACTGGGAACAACAGAAGTCAGCCATGAAGTGGTAGGCCACGTAAAATGACAGAGCAAACAGGACTGGTGCTAGACTATTTTGTGCCCTAGGCAAGACCAGCTATATGCGCCCCCCCCCCCCCAAAAAAAAAATTAAATTTAAAAACAGCAGAAAATAATAAATCAACAAAACATGAAACCGCTAAATTTCCTTTAATATGCAAAAAAAGTGCCATAAGATAACACCAGTATCAATATTAAAGACAAAATTAGTGTCACTGATGGACTGTATCTGTGGCTGGCATTGGCAGGGTGACAGTTGCAGTGAGTGGAGGATGACAGATCCCAGGCTGGAATTCCGCAGGCAATGGGGGGGGAGATAAAACGCTGTGACAGTGGGCAGTTCAGCCCACACACACAGAGATCCGACACAACACACCACCACCAATACTGACGCAGATCAGCAGGCACTAGAAGAGCACGCTGTGGGATTGTGATGATGTGTGACGGATGGCTGGCCGGGTCACACTCACACAGACACGAGACATCAGAGTCAGACATTACTTTCCTCCGCAGGCACAGCTCCATCTCTGCTGATGAATGAGAAGAGAAGGGCTGGAACTCCACAGTTATCAGCAGCTGCCAGTTGGCTTGCAGTAAGGGACTGAGTCTGGGAGGAACACTGGAAGAGGCGGAAGCTCAGCTGCTACACTGGCCCCAGACACCCGACATCTTCTTCTGTCCTTTCTTCCTCCCCTCTGCCTTCCCTTCACTCAGCTGAAGGATCATTCATGACATGGCGGCATCCCACACAGAGTGCTGGCCTGTGCAGCGCCCAGGCGCCCCTAGATGGCAGTGTACACTAGGCAGCTGCCTAGTTTACCTAGTGGAAGCACTGGCCGTAAAAGTGGGGCCAGTGCATGCTGAAGCACACAGTGCGCAGAAGTCGCCAACTGTTTGCAGAGTCAATAGATAAAGACCTCCAAACTTTGCGTAGCCTTCAGATTAGCACAACAGTGCATAGAGAGCTTCATGGAATGGGTTTCCATGGGTCATTAGCTGCATCCAAGCCTTACATCACCAAGTGCAATGCAAAGAGTCGGATGCAGTTGTGTAAAGCACGGCGCCACTGGACTCTAGAGGAGTGGAGATGTGTTCTCTGGAGTGATGAATCATGCTTCCCTGTCTGGTAATCCGATGGATGTGTCTGGGTTTGGCAGTTGCCAGGAGAACGGTATTTGCTTGACTGCATTTTGCCAAGTGTAAAGTTTGGTGGAGGGGGGGGTAATGGTGTGGGGTTGTTCTTCAGGGGTTGGACTTGGCCCCTTAGTTCCAGTGAAGGGAACTCTTAATGCATCAGCATACCAAAGACATTTTGGACAATTTCATGCTCCCAACTTTGTGGGAACAGTTTGGGGATGGCCCCTCCCTATTTCAACATGACTGCGCACCAGTGCACAAAGCAAGGTCCATAAAGACATGGATGAGCGAGTTTGGGGTGGAGGAACTTGTCTGGTCTGCACAGAGTCCTGACCTCAACCCAATAGAACACCTTTGGGATGAATTAGAGCAGAGACTGCGAGCCAGGCCTTCTCATCTGTCATCAGTGTCTGACCTCACAAATGCACTTCTGGAAGAATGGTCAAACATTCCCATAGACACACTCCTAAACCTTGTGGACAGCCTTCCCAGAAGAGTTGAAGCTGTTATAGCTGCAAAGGGTGGGCCAACTCAATATTGAACCCTACAGACTAAGAATGGGATGCCATGAAAGTTCATGTGCGTGTAAAGGCAGGAGTCCCAATACTTTTGGTAATATAGTGTATATACCAGGTAAAATTAATATTGAACATGTCATTTTTCTCTGCAAATATATTTCTAAAGGTGCTATTGATATGAAATTTTCATCTCCTAGATTGTAAGCTCCAAGGAGCAGGGCCCTCAATCCCCTCGTGTATCACATTGTATTGGTATTGTTCTGTCACATGTTCTGTCCCCCTTTGTAATGTACAGCGCTGAGCGAACTATTGGCGCTTTATAAATACTGTATAATAATAATAATCACATGTCGGTAACTACCCATGCAATCCATACATACAAAGAAACCAAAACAAATAAGTTCAGAAATTAAGTTATGTGTAATAAAATGGAATGACACAAGGAAAAAGTATTGAACACATGAAGAAAAGGAGGCACAAAAAGGCATGGAAAGCCCAGAAACAAGCTGAAATCTATCAGTAATTAGAGAGCAATCCTGCCCCTTGTCAGTGCAAATTAATATCAGCTGGTTCAATCTCAACTAATGGTCTATAAAACAGTGTCTCATTACCAAGGTGTCATACAAGAACGAGAAAAGCAAAGAGCTCTTTCAAAACCTTTTCAACCTTATTGTTGCAAAACATACTGATGGCATTGGTTACATAACGATTCCCAAACATCTGAATGTTCCAGTGAGCATTGTTGGGGCCATAATCCAGAAGTGGAAAGAACATCATTTCACCATAAACCGGCCAAGACCAGGTGCTCCTTGCAAGATTTCCTACAGAAGAGTGAAAGGAATTATCAGAAGAATTGTCCAAGAGCTAAGGACCACTTGTGGAGAGCTTCATAAAAACCTGGAATTAGCAAGTACAATTGTTTCAAAGAAAACAGTAAATAATGCACTCACCCGCCATGACCTGTATGCACGCTCACCACGCAAGACTCCATTGCTAAAGAAGAAGCATGTTGAAGCTCACTTAAAGTTTTCTGCACAACATTTAGACAGGCCTGTGAAATACTGGGAGAACATAGTCTGGTCAGATGAGACCGAAATGGAACTCTTTGGATGCCTTAATACACACATTATGTTTGGAGGTCAAATGGCACTGCACATCTCCCCAAAAACACCATAACAACAGTGAACCTTGGAGGTGGGAACATCGTGGTATGAGGCTGTTTTTCAGCATATAGTATTGGCAAACTTCATGTCATTGAAGGAAGGATGAATGGAAAAATGTACCAAGACATTCTTGCTAAAAATCTGCTGCCATCTACCAGGATGATGAAGATGAAACGAGGGTGGATATTTCAGCAAGACAATGATCCCAAACACAAAGCCAAAGAAACTCTCAACTGGTTTCAAAGAAAGAAAATAAAGCTGCTAGAATGGCTCAATCAATCAACTGACTTGAATCCAATAGAAAATCTATGGAAAGAACTAAAGATCAGAGTTCATAGAAGAAGGCCACGGAACCCTCAAGATTTGAAAACTGTTTGTGTGGAAGAATGACACACAAAAAAAAATCACACGTGAGCAATGCATGCAACTAGTTTCTCCATATAGGAGGTGCCTTGAAGCTGCCATTACCAACAAAGGATTTTGTACAAAGTATTAAATAAATTTCAGTTAGCATTTTCAATACTTTTTACCAGTCATTCCATTTTATTACACATAACTTAATTTCTGAACTTATTTATTTTAGTTTCTTTGAAGGTATGGATTGCATGGATTGTTACCGACAGGTGGTGAAAATTTCATGTCAATGACACCTTTAGAAATATATTTACTGAGAAAAATGGTGACCTGTTCAATACTTATTTTACCCGCTGTATACTGTATATACATGTCCTAAGAAGGGGCGGACTGACAACTCATGGGTCCCCCGGGCAATCGGGGATCATGGTACCCCTCTGTCCTTGCCCAAACTCAAAAAAGCCTATGAAAAAGGTACCAGGGGCATCTCATGGGGCCCCCTACTGACCCTGGGCCCTCGGGCAGTGCCTGAGTTTCCAAATGGTCAGTCCGCCCCTGGTCCTAAGGGTATTTCCAGTTCATTCTTACAGTATGGGTAAACAAAACATCTTTAAGTGTATATATAGCCAAAATATTTTTTCTGTTTTGAATACAGTAGGAAACAGTTAAAGCCCCTATCAGATATGTTTTCACAGTCCTTGTCTCCTTGGAGAGATTTCCCTTCACTTTTCTTCCTGGGAACACAATGGAAAATGAAAGGCGATCTCTCCAAAGTGACAGCTGCCACCAGAACATTTGTCCCAGTTAGATGATGTACAATTACAAAGGGTCAAAATCCTAAAGTAACGGCAAAAAAGTTTTAGGAACAGCCAACTACCAAGCCTGTGGTTCAAACTTTTGGGAAGACTCATTTCTGGTAAGATACCAAACTAATTTCTGAGGATCAAGGAAAAGGGCAAAATCAGTTGCAGAGTCGAAGAGGAGTGGAGGCTGAGGAAGTAACACTCAAGCTGTAACAGCTACCAGATGTGCTAAGGACATCTAACTGTGTGGACACTGCTGGCGAGGGATAAATGAACCCTACAAACACTGTTCCTGATGCATACAATAGTGCTGAGGTTTTTACCTGAGCATAAAGGAATTTTATAGTATACACCCTACACCAACCAAAATAGAGTTTCTGTGGTCAGAACTCTGTAGTCCATTGCCCAACACCGAGCTAATTAAATGCCTGTGGTTGATGTGGGGCCCTAAAATACACTATATTGCCAAAAGTATTGGGACTCCTGCCTTTGCACGCACATGAAATTTAATGGCAACCCAGTCTTAATCCATGGGGTTCAATATTGAGGTGGCCCACCCTTTGCAGCTATAACAGCTTCAACTCTTCTGGGAAGGCTGTCCACAAGGTTTCGGAGTGTGTCTATGAGAATGTTTGACCTTTTTCCCATAAGCACATTTGTGAGGTCAGGCACTGATGTCAGACAAGAAGGCCTGGCTCGCAGTCTCCGCTCTAATTCATTCCAAAGGTGTTCTACCTGGTTGAGGTCAGGTCTCTGTGCAGGCCAGTCAAGTTCCTCCACCCCAAACTCATTCATCCATGTCTTTATGGACCTTGCTTTGTGTACTGGTGCGCAGTCATGTTGAAATAGGGAGGGGCCATCCCCAAACTGTTCCCACAAAGTTGGGAGTATGGAATTGTACAAAATATCTTGGTATGCTGACGCCTTAAGAGTTCCCTTCACTGGAACTAAGGAGCCAAGCCCAAACCCCTGAAAAACAACCCCACACCATAATCCCCCCTCCACCAAACTTTACACTTGCCACAATGCAGTCAGGCAAGTACCATTCTACTGGCAACCACCAAACCCAGACATGTCAATCGGATTGCCAGACAGAAAAGCATGATTCATCACTCCAGAGAACACGTCTCGACTGCTCTAGAGTTCAGTGGCAGCGTGCTTTACACTACTGCATCCGATTCTTTGCATTGCACTTGGTGATGTAAGGCTTAGATGCAGCTGCTCAGCCATGGAAACCCATTCCATGAAGCTCTCTACACACTGTTGTTGCGCTAAACTGTAGGCCACATGAAGTTTGGATGTGTTTAGCTATTGACTCTACAGATAGTTGGTGACTTCTGCACACTGTGCTCTTCAGCATGCATTGACCCCTCTATGTCATTGTACGTGGCCTACCACTTTGTGGCTGAGTTGCTGTTGTTCCCAGTTGCTTACACATCGTTATAATAACACTAACAGTTGACCGTGGAATATTTAGTAGCAAGGAAATTTCATGGATAGACTCATTGCACAGGGGGCAACCTATCATGGTGCCATGCTTGAATTCAATGAGCTCCTGACAGTGACCCATTCTTTCACAAATGTTTGTAGAAGCAGTCTGCATGCCTAGGTGCTTAATTTTATACATCTGTGGCCATGGAGGTGATTGAAACACCTAAATCCAATGATTTGGAGGGGTGTCCCAATACTTTTGGAAATATACTGTGTGTATATATATATATATATATATATATATATATATATATATATATATTTTATATATGTTTTTTATAGCACCTTCTAGTGTGCTACTAGAATAGTGTAGAATATTATAAGTAAAATCATTGTGTGTGACTTTTAGTAGTTGTGTGAGTCATGTGATTAAGGTCGGGTTACTGCAGGTCAGCTGGATGACTCAACAGGTTGTGGCTCTATTTCTTCCTCCTGACTCTGGTGGACCATAGATCCTTCCAGAAGTCAGTAAGAAGGATGGGGTGGAAGCCTAATCTGCATATTTATGGGGGGGTCCGGCCAATTGTAGGTTTGTCTCTTCAGAATTCCTGATAGGTTTTCGATTGGGTTCAGATCAGGAGACATACTTGGCCACTGAATCAGTTTCACCCTGTTCTTCTTCAGAAATGCAACAGTGGCCTTAGATGTGTTTTTTGGATCAATGGCATGCTGTAATAGTGCACGACGACCAAGGGCACGGAGTGATGGTAGCATTTTCTC